GATGAATCTGTACCAGACTGACTGGAAAAAAGTGTGGAGAAGGCTTGGAACAGTTCATGATCCAAAGCATACAATGTCACCTGTAAAACATGGTGGAGGCAGTGTGATGGCATGGGCATGCATGACTTCCAGTGGCACTGAGTCATTGGTGTTTATTGACGGTGTGATAGAAGCAGCCGGATGACCATATCCTCAAATTTAACCTGAGTGTGCACTTTCAGCCCATATCCATTTATATACAGTGAGGAACAGAAGTATTTGAACACCCTGCGATTTTGCAAGTTCTCCCACTTAGAAATCATGGAGGGGTCTGAAATTCACATTGTAGGTGCATTCCCACTCTGAGAGACACAATTTAAATAAAAAATTCAGGAAATCACATTGTATGATTTTTAAAGAATTTATTTGTCTTGCACTGCTGAATATAAGTATTTGAACACACTGAGAAACAGCAAGAATTCTGGCTCTCAAAGACCTGTTGCTATGCCTTTAAAAAGTCCACCTCTACTCCACTCATTAATCTAACTTAGTAGCACCTGTCTGAGCTCTTTAAAGACACATGTCCACCCCACAGTCAGTCTGACGCCAACTACTACCATGGGCAAGACTAAAGAGCTGCCAAAAGACACCAGAGACAAAATCGTGGACCTCCACAAGGCTGGAAAGGGCTACGGGGCAATTGCCAAGCAGCTTTGTGAAAATAGATCAACTGTTGGAGCAACTGTTAGAAAATGGAAGAGGCTAAAGACGACTGTCAGTCTCCCTCGGACTGGGGCTCCATGCAAGATCTCACCCCGTGGGGTATCACTGATGATAAAGGTGAGGAATCGGCCCAGAACAAGGGAGGAGCTGGTCAATGACATGAAGAGAGCTGGGAACACAGTTTCAAAGGTCATTGTCGGTAGAACACTACGCCGTCATGGTTTCAAATCATGCATTGCACGGAAGGTTCCCCTGCTCAAGTCATCACATGTCCAGGCCCGTCTGAAGTTTGCCAATGACCATCTGGATGATCCAGAGGAGGCATGGGAGAAAGTCATGTGGTCAGATGAGACCAAAGTAGAACTTTTTGGTCTAAACTTCACTCGTCGTGCTTAGTGGAAAAAGGATGAGTTGCATCCCAAGAACACCATCCCTACTGTGAAGCATGGGGGTGGTAACATCATGCTTTGGGGGTGCTTTTCTGCGAAGGGACAGGACGTCTGCACTGTATTAAGGAGAGGATGAATGGGGCCATTTATTGTGAGATTTTGAGCAACAACCTCCTTCCCTCAGTCAGAGCATTGAAGATGGGTCGTGGCTGGGTCTTCCAACATGACAACGATCCAAAGCACACAGCCAGGATAACCAGGGAGTGGCTCCGTAAGAAGCATATCAAGGTTCTGGAGTGGCCTAGCCAGTCTCCAGACCTAAATCCAATAGAACATCTTTGGAGGGAGCTAAAACTCCGTGTTGCTCAGCGACAGCCCCGAAACCTGACAGATCTAGAGGAGATCTGTGTGGAGGAGTGGGGACAAAATCCCTGTTGCAGTGTGTGCAAACCTGGTCAAGAACTACAGAAAACGTTTGACCTCTGTAATTGCAAACAAAGGCTTCTGTACCAAATATTAACACTGATTTTCTCAGGTGTTCAAATACTTGTTCAGCAGTGCAAGACAAATACATTCTTTAAAAAATCATACAATGTGATTTCCTGATTTTTTTTTTTTGTTTAAATTCTGTCTCTCAGAGATGGAATGCACCTACAATGTGAATTTCAGACCCCTCCATGATTTCTAAGTGGGAGAACTTGCAAAATCGCAGGGTGTTCAAATACTTCTGTTCCTCACTGTAACTATAGCTTGAATATGTTTTGGTAAATACCTGAAAAAAACTATAATTGTGCCTGTGTCCAAATGTACAGTTGCAAGAAAAAGTATGTGAACCCCTTGGGATTATGTGGAGTTTTGCATGAATTGGGCATAAAATGTGCTCTGAACGTCATCTAAGTCACAACAATAGAAGAACACTGTCTGCTGAACATAATACTACACAAACATTAGATGTTGCCATGGTTTAATTGCACATAACATGTAAACATTCACAGTGCAGGGAGGAAAAAGTATGTGAACCTTTGGACTTAATAACTGGTTGACCCTCCTTTGGCAGCAATAACCTCAACCAAACGTTTCCTGTAGTTGCAGATCAGACCTGCACAATGATCTGGAGTAATTTTGGACCACTCCTCTTCACAAAACTGTTTCAGTGTAGCAATATTCTTGGGATGTCTGGTGTGAATCGCTCTCTTAAGGTCATGCCACAGCATTTCAATCGGGTTGAGGTCAGGACTCTGACTGGGCCACTCCAGAAGGCGTATTCTGTGCTGTTGCAGCCATTGGTTTGTTGAATTACTTGTATGCTTTGGGTCATTGTCCTGTTGCAATCGCCCATCCTCTGCGGAGCTTCAGTTGGTGGACAGATGGTTGTACGTTTTCCTGCAAAATGTCTCGATAAACTCTGGAATTCATTTTCCCATCAATGACAACAATCTGTCCAGGCCCTGAGGCAGCAAAGCAGCCCCAAACCATGATGCTCCCTCCTCCATGTTTCACAGTGGGGATGAGGTTTTGATGTTGGTGTGCTGTGCCTTTTTTTCTCCACACATAGTGTTGTGTGTTCTTCCCAAAACAACTCAATGTTGGTTTCATCTGTCCACAGTATATTTTGCCAGTAGTGCTGTGGAACATCCAGGGGCTCTTTTGCATACTTCAAACGTACTGCAATATTCTTTTTGGACAGCAATGACTTCCTCCGTGGTGTCCTCCCATGTACTCCATTCTTGTTTAATGTTTTCCTTATTGTAGATGTGTCAACAAAAATGTTAGTATGTGCCAGAGATTTCTGTAGGTCTTTAGCTGACACTCTGGGATTCTTCTTTACCTCATGCAGCATTCTGCGCTGTGCTCTTGCAGTCATTTTTACAGGACGACCACGCCTAGGGAGAGTAGCAACAGTGCTAAACTTTCTCCATTTGTAGACAGTCTGTCTTACCGTGGACACATGAACATCAAGGCTTTTGGAGATACTTTTGTAACCCTTTCCAGCTTCATGCAAGTCAGCAATTCTTGATCGTAGGTCTTCTGATAGCTCTTTTCTGCGAGGCATGGTTCACATCAGACAGTGCTTCTTGAAACCAGTAAACCCAAAACAGGTGTGTGTTTTTTAAGGGCAGGACAGCTGTCAGCAACACATCCAATATCATCACACTGATTGGAGTCAAAGTTGGCTCACTCCTGGCTCCAATTATCTCTGGGAGAAGTCATTAAGCTAGGGCTTCACATACTTTTTCCTCCCTGCACTGTGAATGTTTACATGTTATGTGCAATTAAACCATGGCAACATCTAATATTTGTGTAGTATTATGTTCAGCAGACTGTGTTCTTCTATTGTTGTGACTTAGATGCCGTTCAGAGCACATTTTATGCCCAATTCATGCAAAACTCCACGTAATCCCAAGGGGTTCACATACTTTTTCTTGCAACTGTATATGGACCTAAGGGGTCGTTCACACTTGACTTTATTTCTAACTCTTGCCAAACGCCCCTATAGCTTTTGACAGGCGTTATGGCGCCCTATGCGCGGTTTTGAGGTGGTTGATAGGTGTTTGCCAAGAGTTAAAACCGCACGACAAACACCTATAATGAAGTTAAATGGTATTAATGCTCCGCAACTGCCTTGCAACCGCATCGCAAACGCCTGCCAGGCGTTTTAGGAGCGGCACCATAGACTTGAATGGGAGGCTTCAACTCCTCATGAATCGACATGAGGCGTTCGTTTTGACGCAACGTGAGGTGGGAAAGGCGGGGAGGTTAAGTACCCATCTCCACGTCTTCCAATCGGAGCACATTTTGCATTAATTGACAAAATGTATAGTATTCTGTGAATTGCGTTTGTGCTAGGGATGCACTTATATATTGGCAGCCGAAACGTATGGTCCCAAAATAGTGTTATCGGAATTTTGCTGATAGGAAAATAGGTGCCAATAATGGCTTCTCTGTTTTTATTATAAAAGAAATGTCAAGGCAATTCGCATGCAAAGTTGCGTCCCACAGACTTGCATACAAAGTTGCGTCCCACAGACTTGCATACAAAGTTGCGTCCCACAGACTTGCATGCAAAGTTGCGTCCCACAGACTTGCATGCAAAAACGTTAACCACATTAACTTAAAGGATAAGTTCACCTTTGGGAACATGTTACATGTTCCACCCGTGTTTTGTTCCCAATGCTGTAGCTGCTGTGGAGCACCGTGGTAGTTTATTGAATATTTCTGTCAGTATATCTGTCAGTATGGGCAAGTAGATTTACTGATAGGTCTGCAGGAGACCTGCATGGCACCAGTGATCTGCTAATTGCTAGTGCAATGCTTTACAGGCTCCTGCAACCAAAAATGATTTACCTGCAAAAAAAAATGTGCATTTATTTTTTTTAGTCAAAAGGTGAACTTATCCTTTAAATTTAAAAAAACTGTCCATTTTGGTTTTCTCCCAAGTGCATTTTGAATTTTTGGTTTCAGCACTGGAATTTTCATTTCAGTACACCACTAGTTTGTGCCCTGCGAAGGAACTCCTGTGTTTACAATGCAGCAGGGCAGTTGCTTGGCAGAGGACCCAGGAGCTAGTGGAGATCCTACAGATATGGTATATGCATAGTTACATTGTTCCAAGCTTGACCAATAAAATTGTATCTTCCATATATCTGTCCTCGCTCAAATCAGTCCTGTTTCTGACCCCTTTGTGAAGTAATGTAGATTACTTTCACTGTAGCATAGCCTTTTTGTCAGGAAAAAACAGGACCTATTACCTCTGTCCTAGATTGAAATCAGACTTAATAGTAATGTTTTTAGATAATGGAGGAATATTCTTTTTAAAAAAGATAATTCATGCAGGTGTCTATGTATCTATAACCTATATAACATGTTTACATATATACATAATTTTTTTTTTATTCTCTGTACATACAGCCTTTGCCCAGATGTTGGTCTACACAAACAGCAACACAAGCTGTTTTAAATGTTCCAGAGACTAAAATCACCACATTGAATAATGGACTGCGAGTTGCGTCTGAGGATTCTGGACTGTCAACGTGTACTGTAAGAGAACTTATATCATGTCACATTTTTGTTTTTGTTGCATTAAGTCAAATGACAAACTGTGTAGCATTCACAAACCTAATTGTATGTTGTTAAAGCTTGCTTCTTCATTTTCAATAGAGTGGGGAAGAGTTGGAACTTTTTTTTTTCCAAGTTACAACCTAATGATAGAAGTTATTTGGACATAAAGTAAGAGGAAATTGAATAACTGAGAATTGTCACTGAAACAGATGATCAGGAAAATTTCCAACAACGAATAAGGCTCCTTTCACACGGGGCGGAATCCAATTTGCTCAGCAGGGGATCTGTCCGGGTTGATGACTGTCCCTGTTTGCTCAGTTCATGCAGTGTGGACATGGATAGAGCTCCTCTGTGCTCTGTAGGTGTCCAGATGTAAATGGGATGACTCCCCTCCTATTTGCCTAGCTGGAGGGGGGTCGGATCCTTTTTTTTTTTTTTTTTTTTTTTGCGGACTGAATTGGAGGTAGGCGGGCGTAAATGGACACAAGTTCATTTACACCCTCCAGTCCATAGGGATACATGAACCATTTGATCAGGTCCACCTGATAAACTGACAGGCAGACCTGATTGTATTGTCCATGTGAAAGGGGCCTTACAGCTGGGCTTATCTTAGAGACCAAAGTTTCCTATTCATTGAACAAAGATTTCCAAAGTCATCTTCCAGGACAGCTTCACATGAGAGAGGCTCCTCCCTCCAGGAAACACCTGATCTACTTTATCTTAATAAATAGACTCTCCGCCCCTGGGGTCCTCGGTATTTGTGTTTCCTCTGGGCAGGACTGAACTACCCCCCGTTTGTTGTTTTACCAAGGTTGTCTGGCGGGGTACAGAGGCCTCTTGAATGAGGCTACCCCCTTACCAAGCAAGGCAGAGGCCTTGTGGGGTGGCCTCATTCGGGGTTACCGTGACATTTCCTTTAGGGGAGACAGCACCCCTCTTTCCTCGCCCATCTGCGGTCATGCGAGGCTCACCAGGAGGGGGATAAGCCTGCTTCAATGACCAAGGGGCCGCTACCCTGTGGGGCAAAGCCTACCTTCCTCCGCTCTAACGCCAATATCTTCGGGTGAGGCAACTGGCCCATTCCCATTTTTCCCTAAAGAAATTCTTCCCCCAGAGTATTCATGGCATCAATAGACCTAAAGGATGCATTCCTTCACATTTCACATCCCAATAAGGGAGGAGTCAAGGAAGTTCCTGAGGTTCACGCTACAGGGGCCCAAGAACAGAACAATCTTTTTCCAATTCAACGCACTTCCCTTCGGTCTGTCTTCAGCACCAAGGGTATTTACAAAGCTCCACGTGGAAGCACTATGACAGCTTGAGGCTAAAGGGGATAAATAGTATCCCCTACCTGGACGACATAATCTTGTTTGCGGACACGAAAGAAGCTCTGGAATGTCATGTGGCATATACAATATCCTTCTTGGAAAACCTAGGATGGCTAATAAATACAGATCACAGCTAATCCCTTCCAACAGAATTACATTTTTGGGATATATTCTGGATTCCACAAGCACCTGCTTATACGTAACACCGGAAAAAGTACTCAAACTACAACAGGACACAATGAGTCTCCGGAGGATACCAGTTTGTATGATCAGAAATGCCATGAAGCTTGTTGGTTGGATGACCGCAGCAATACTGGGGGTGCAATGGGTGCACTCCAGGACAATACAGAATCATGTCGTCTCCCACTGGGACGGCAGCCAAGCATCTCTGCACTCCAGCATTAGCCTCACTCGCAATGTAAAAAAGTCATTGGATTGGTGGAGAAACATTCAGATGCTGGAACTCGGGAGAAGATGGAAAAAATCCAACCCAACAAAAATCACTACAGATGCAAGTATGCGGGGGCGGGCCGCATACATGGAGGGCTGCCTGGCCCAGGGTAAGTGGGACCCAGAAACCGCAAGAAGCTCATCAAATTTCAGGGAATTACTGGCAATTTTCAAAGTGCTTATGGCTTTTCAAGAAAAAATAAAAGGGAAAGAGATTCAAGTCCTGTCGTACAACATGACTGCTGTCACGTACTTGAACAGACAAGGGGGTACAAGGTCCCCAAAGCTGATGGAGTTGTCAGAAACCCTGTTAGGCTGGGCAGAAAGAAACCTAAGGTCAATCACGGCATATCATGTGAAGGGAGACTTGAACTTGCTAGCAGATTAGTTAAGTTGTGAGGAAATCAGAATGGTGCCTCAGCCACACAGAGTTCGCCCAAATCTGCAGCAGATGGGGCACTCATTCCATAGATCTTTTCACCAACAAATGAAACGCAAAACTAGGGAAGTGCTTCTGCCTTCAGAGAGACCCTCAAAGTGCAGGCACAGATGCACTGGCTCAGCCTTTACGCCTTTCCACCATTCAGACTACTACCAAGAGTGGTACAGAAAATACAGATTTCTCATGCAAGTTTATCCTCATCGCTCCATTCTAGCCAAAAAGGCCATGGTTCTCCTTCCTGAAGAAGCTGAGCCTAACTGACCCGTGAACAATACCACCCAGGAAGGAACTACTAGTACAGGGGTCAGTGGAACACCCACACCCGGAAAAGCTGTAATTGACGGCTTCTGAGCAGCAAAGGCTAGCCACAAAAGGCTTATCAGAGAAGGTGGTCTCCATCCTAGGCGGGCGGAAAAAGTCTACAAACGCCATTTACAACAAAACCTGGAGGAAGTTTTCCTATTTGAGGAAGGGGAATGAGTTGCCATGAGCTCCTATCCTGAACACAGTACTCGAATTCCTACAAGCAGGAGCAGACAATAACCTAGCAGCTAATACACTTAAAGTTCAAGTAGCTGCCTTGTCGAATTTCCTGGAATTTAAGTTAGCGGAGGATCGCCTAGTGGTCAGATTCCTGAGGGCTATCACTAGATGTAGAGTACCATACGCACCCAAATGCCCAGTCTGGGATCTAGGAACAGTTCTAAGGAGTTTCCAACACGAGCCATTCGAACCCTTGGAAAAATGTTCTCTCAGATACTTAACCCTCAAAACCACTCTTAGTAGCCCTAGTCTCAGTTTGCAGAATAAGAGAATTGCAAGCACTGTCAGTGATAGAGCCTTACTGTACAATCCTGATGGATAGGATTATCCTCAATATAGACCCGGCATTCCTACCAAAGGACACGTCACATTTCCACAGAACAGATTGTAATACCATCATTTTGCGGGAGCCCAAGCAACACCAAAGAAAGAGACTACAACAAAATCGATGTAATTATGCCTAATTGCGTACATAGAGCTCACTAAAGCATGGAGGCACTAGTCCAGCCTCTTGGTCTTATTTCAAGGACCAAGGAAAGGTTACACAGCCTCTAAAGGTACCATCGCAAGGTGGCTAAAGGAAGCTATCTCAGAAGGATACAAAACCTTAACACTGACGCCACCATCAGGTTTGAAAGCATATTAAACTAGGGCTAGCATAGCTACGTTGGCAGAGAAAGCTGGTGCCTCTCTGGACAGATCTGCAAGGCCACAACATGGTCCAGCTTCAGCACATTCACCAGGCACTACCGGTTAGACCTGATCGCCAACAAGGAACAGGCATTCGGCAGTATAGTCTTGCAAGCAGCAGCTTGAGCAGCCCATTGAAGTCCATTAGGGAGGCAGCGGAAGCACAGGCACAGCCGCTGGTCCTAATGTGACAGAGGTGCGCGTGAGCTTGCTACTGTGATGGGCAGCCTCACGGACACAGGAATTGTGTATATTGGAGTACTGGCATTCTAGGTGCCAGAGTTGCTTACACTGTGGAAGGTCTTGACATACAGACATCGGGAGGTGTCTTCTATGTGTTACCCTTCAGGTTTGCAATATTTGGCAGTTGTTAATAACTGCCAAGTTAATAAGACAACAGAAACTTTTTCATAGTCTTCTCCTCTTTGGAGACAGCCATAAGATGGTATACTCATATAATCAAGCTGGAAGTACACAAGCTAATGCAAACAATACAGTAAATGTGAGCTTGGGTTGTGCAACGCAGCTGTATAAGGGTGCCGAGCATCTCTGTGTTGTGCTTTTACCCTTTTTTTTTTTTTTTTTTTTTTTGGATTGCTTATGGTGCTTTGATGTATTTAATATAATTTTGTATGTTCAGTGTCCTCTTACTTTTTTCCATTTGAAATTAGGTGGGTCTATGGATTGATGCTGGAAGCAGGTATGAAAATGAGAAGAATAATGGAACTGCACATTTTTTAGAGCACATGGCATTTAAGGTAAGACTTGCAAAACTTGAAGAAAAAAAACACACACCAAATTTGTATTATTAGACTTATGTAACATGACAGTTGATATGATGAAAGCTATAAAGTACTTCAGTTGTATGGCCGCAGTTAGCTGAATGACGGCTGTACCGCGGCCGGCCAGTTCTGGGAGGACGCCATATGACGTCCTCCCACGCACACCTGGCAGTCTCTGTGATCACTGTGTCCTATGAACACAGCTGATCACGTGATGTGTTAAAAGGGCAGTGAGCCCATAATTGCATTTGATAGCGGCACCCTTAGGGCTCTCACACGTTGGGGGGTGGTAAAACCCTGCGGTTGAGTCACTTAACAAATGTAGCACCCTCCTAATTAGGTGCTAATATAGGTGTTCGTAGGTAAATTTAGCTGTTTCTTTGGGCTCCTGCATTTAGTTTTAGTGAGCTTTCAGAAAGTGCACCAAACCCCCAGGATATATTAGAAGTCCATGGCTAAGTGCAGCAAACCCACAAGAAAGCTGTAGGTACGCTGCACCCACAATGTGGGTAGACCGCAGTGCATCAGTGTGTAAAAGAAGCCCTATACTATTATGTCCAGTGTATTACTTCTGACATCAAGATCTCTTTCCTGCTGCTGGCACCACTCTGAAGACTGCTAGCTGGGATAAGAGTTGGAGTGCAAGTTGGTATCACTCCACATGCGACAGGAGCCGGAACTCCAGAGGAGACATTGGCTTATGCACCTCTTGCTCCCTACTACAGATTCAACTTTACAAGTAGTCCCTCTGCATTGCACTATTTTTGTTTATCTGGGATGGCGGATCAGAAAGCCCAGACCGCGGTCTACTGGTAGATCGCAATCTGTGTTGCTGACCCCTGCTCTAGGCAAAGCTTTTTTTTTTTTTTTTTTTTTTTTTTTTTTAGTTTTGTATTGTATAGGATTAGACCCTCTCAAGTTTTTATTTCAGTCTGTTGTGAGATTCACCCCCTATTTGTCATGATGACCATTGTCATCGAGAGAGAAAGTGAGGGGAAATACAAAATGTTACAGTTGTCCCCAGAACAAGAGGTGAATCTTCCAATGGACTTGCTTGTTTTGGGGACTGCTGTCTGAGAGATTTCCTCTAAATTCCTCTTGTGCATGTAGGAGAGGAAGTACAGAAAAATATCCCCAGTGATACACAGACAGCAGAAAATAAACTGACAGGGGTTTGTAACACTTACCTACTATATCCAAAAGAAAATTTAAAAACTTTTGTCAATACATACACTTAATATACAGTCAGGTCCATAAATATTGGGACACCGACACAATTCTAACATTTTTGGCTCTATACACCACCACAATGGATTTGAAATGAAACGAACAAGATGTGCTTTAACTGCAGACTGTCAGCTTTAATTTGAGGGTATTTACATCCAAATCAGGTGAACGGTGTAGGAATTACAACAGTTTGCATATGTGCCTCCCACTTGTTAAGGGACCAAAAGTAATGGGACAGAATAATAATCATAAATCAAACTTTCACTTTTTAATACTTGGTTGCAAATCCTTTGCAGTCAATTACAGCCTGAAGTGTGGAACGCATAGACATCACCAGACGCTGGGTTTCATCCCTGGTGATGCTCTGCCAGGCCTCTACTGCAACTGTCCTCAGTTCCTGCTTGTTCTTGGGGCATTTCCCTTCAGTTATGTCTTCAGCAAGTGAAATGCATGCTCAATCGGATTCAGGTCAGGTGATTGACTTAGCCATTGCATAACATTCCACTTCTTTCCCTTAAAAAAACTCTTTGGTTGCTTTTGCAGTATGCTTTGGGTCATTGTCCATCTGCACTGTGAAGCGGCGTCCAATGACTTCTGAAGCACTTGGCTGAATATGAGCAGATAATATTGCCCAAACACTTCAGAATTCATCCTGCTGCTTTTGTCAGCAGTCACATCATCAATAAATACAAGAGAACCAGTTCCATTGGCAGCCATACATGCCCACGCCATGACACTACCACCACCATGCTTCACTGATGAGGTGGTATGCGACGGATCATGAGCAGTTCCTTTCCTTCTCCATACTCTTCTCTTCCCATCACTCTGGTACAAGTTGATCTTGGTCTCATCTGTCCATAGGATGTTGTTCCAGAACTGTGAAGGTTTTTTTAGATGTCGTTTGGCAAACTCTAATCTGGCCTTCCTGTTTTTGAGGCTCACCAATGGTTTACATCTTGTGGTGAACCCTCTGTATTCACTCTGGTGAAGTCTTCTCTTGATTGTTGACTTTGACACACATACACCTACCTCCTGGAGAGTGTTCTTGATCTGGCCAACTGTTGTGAAGGGTGTTTTCTTCACCAGGGAAAGAATTCTTCGGTCATCCCCCACATTTGTTTTCCGTGGTCTTCCGGGTCTTTTGGTGGTGCTGAGCTCACCGTTGCGTTCCTTCTTTTTAAGAATGTTCCAAACAGTTGTTTTGCCCACGCCTAATGTTTTTGCTATCTCTCTGATGGGTTTGTTTTGTTTTTTCAGCCTAATGATGGCTTGCTTCACTGATAGTGACAGCTCTTTGGATCTCCTCTTGAGATTTGACAGCAACAGGTTCCAAATGCAAATAGCACACTTGAAATGAACTCTGGACCTTTTATCTGCTCATTGTAATTGGGATAATGAGGGAATAACACACACCTGGCCATGGAACAGCTGAGAAGCCAATTGTCCCATTACTTTTGGTCCCTTAACAAGTGGGAGGCACATATGCAAACTGTTGTAATTCCTACACAGTTCACCTGATTTTGAAGTAAATACCCTCAAATTAAAGCTGACAGTCTGCAGTTAAAGCACATCTTCGTTTCATTTCAAATCCGTTGTGGTGGTGTATAGAGGCAAAAATGTTAGAATTGTGTCGATGTCCCAATATTTATTGACCTGACTGTATCTTCTTTAAATTAAAAGCAAGCTCTGTTAATATGCAAATGATGTCAGGTGCTGCAAATGTGCAAAAAGAACTGTAATTCGTGAGAATAAAATTGTGATTGCAGCACAAAACTGTTAGAAGAAAAAACAGGATATTAAAAGAACAAAGATTTGTAGGGTTGCTAGTACATATATTGGATAAAGTTATTCACCAAGAAAGATACCACGATTGTATTTAATTGGAATTCCAGGTGAAGAAATGGCTAAGGGACCTCCAAGCCTTACACATGACATTAAATCTTTGAAATAGTTTATTGGAACCATTTAACCCTAGTCACTATCGTGGGCACCCAGCTAGCTGGCCCTGGAATACTGTCTTTCCAGTGAGGTGGCCCTGTATCTTCAACTGACTCTTTCCCTGCACCCATCCATAGGACTTCTGCCATTACCTGGAGAGAGAATGCAAAGAACAAAAGGTATACCGCTCAGGCAAACAATCCAGATCAATCCACAACAGGTGCAGGCTCTGGCTTGCCACCACACACGATACAATAGGAAGAAGGGTCAGCCGCACACCGGAGGATAGATGAATATAGTGTATATTTTTTGCTCCATAGGACACACAAAACACCAGGACATGAATACAGGACCTGTTAACAGGTCCTGTATTCATGTCCTGGTGTTTTGTGTGTCCTATGGATCAATAAATACACACTATATTCATCTATCCTCCGGTGTGCGGCTGACCCTTCTTCCTTTTAGTACCTGGAGAGAGCATCTTTCCCCTGTGCAGCCAGTCCAGAAGTCCATATGATTGACTGACTACCTGGGCTACCATTTATAACCTCATATTTATAGCCTCCTTGTGAGAGAGGTCACCCCCACACACACCTTTGCAGAGAACCTCAAGTAACTATTCTTACACTAGACTGAATTTTGTTGTGCTATTTCCAACTGTTAATTTATTATCATACTCCGTTCTCTTAAATCGGGGGTCTCCAAATTTTCTAGAGAAAGGGCCAGTTTACTGTCCTTCAGACGTTAGGGCGGCTGGACTGTGTCCAGTGGAAGTAAACCATTTTTGTTGTCAGTGGAAGGAATTATGCCCCATTGTTGGTGCACGCTCTTGCACTATCATCTTGTAGCTGTACGCTGGCATCAACAAAGGAGAACCCTCCACCTGGTGAAAGCTAAAGTGCCCAGTCCCTGCTGTCTCACCAGGCATGGCCTCCCTGAGGACAAGGAATAGCTGAATTTTCATGATCCCTGGTGTGTCCATAACTCCTGGAAATTGTGGTAGCACAGAGGAGTGTGGGAGCCCACTGGATCATGGAAAAGGAATTTAAAGCGGCACCCACTGCTGGAAAAAGTAGATAAGGAACTCCATTACATGCATGGCAGGTTATGTCTTATGTTCTGTTGGGGTAACTGTGTTAATATCTTGAAATTAAAACGATGAGGAAAGGAACAACATAAATATCCTGATTAAAAATGTAATTAAATTAAGACTGTATTAAAATGTTTTCATTGTATAGTTAGCTATAGTGGCTATGATGCTTTACAGTACTTCACAAAGTATTTATATAGCAGAGGTGTTATTTACAGAATTGTTATTCGAATGGCTTCCTAATTTTGCACTGATTATCTTAGGGAACAAAGCAGCGTTCCCAGCTAGACCTGGAGCTTGAAATTGAAAACATGGGTGCTCACTTGAATGCATATACTTCACGAGAACAGACAGTATATTATGCAAAGGCTTTTTCCAAAGATCTGCCTAGAGGTAGGTGACAAGGATTACAGCTGATTCTGTGACAAGTAAATTCCTATAACATTCTCTGCTTTGGATCATATTTGTTTTGGTCAAAATGGTTTAAGACCCCCTGAGCTAAGTTTACCCACCTTTTGGCCATGAGAAAAAGCCCTTCAAGAGAAACCTAGTCAAAGCTTAGTTAGGACTGAGGGCTATCCTGTTCCCTTTTTTCCCCATGTGATAGCAGTGATTCCTGTGTATGTCCTTTTTTGTTTTTTTCGGTCAGTTGACCATGCTTATGCTTGTCAAATGACCTGCAAATCATGTAGTGTTTCCATTTTTTTTTTTTTTTTGTCCAACCTCTGCATATACCAATGAATTAACAGAGGGCAGTTATTTCTGGAGGTAGCTCCTTATTTCTGCATTGACACAGCAGACACCCAGCACAGCACAATGGTAAGCTGAAGACCTATAGTGTGTCTGCACCAGATTCAAATATTTTTGCTGACTTAACTGGAAAGTGTGCTGGGAAATTTTTGTATTGTATCGTTCTGTAAAATGCCCTGTCCATGTGCACTTTACTTTAAAAAAAGCTGTAATGAATTGATTGGAGCAGTTGTTTTGTTTTGCATTAAAGCTAACTTGTTGCTTTACCCTGCATATGAAACTCGCAGGTTCACATTAGGCCTGGTTCACAATAGTGATTTCAGATGCAACTTGAGTCGCATAGAATTGCTTGACAATTCAGATCACATTGTTTTCAATGTTGTCTGTTCACATCAATGTGACTCAGCACGGAGTGATTTTGGAAAAGGTTCTAACCCAACCAACATTCAAGGCCCGACACCACACTTAACACTCTCCTCCTTCGACCCTGTTACCACTGAGGAAGTTACTGAACTCCTTTCCAAGGCTCACTTCACCACCTGTCCCCTGGACCCTCTCCCCTCACAATTATTGCAGCCTCCTTCCTGCTCTATCTTAAACTCTCTAACCCACATCTTCAACCTCTCACTCTCCCACTCTCCATGGGCACCTTTCCCTCCCTGCTCAAACATGCACTGGTTACCTCCATACTTAAAAAACCCTCACTGGACCCCACCTGTTTGAATAACTTATGACCCATCTCCCTGCTCCCTTTTGCCTTCAAGTTTCTAGAGCGCCTTGTTCACAACTGTATGAACTGCTACCTCACCGACAACAGCCTTCTCCCCTTCTTGATCCCCTACAGTCTGGCTTCCACCCACAACATTCACTGGAACTGCCCTACTAAAACTCATTAACGACCTACTAACTGATAAAACCAATGGTCATTACTCCATACTCATACTCCTATACCTTTCCACTGCCTTTGACACAGTCAACCACCCGCTCCTCCTCAGAAAACTCCACTCCATTGGCCTCCGTGTCTGCTCTCTCCTGGTTCTCCTCTTACCCTTTTTCAGCGCACTTTCAGCATCACATACAACTCCTCCTCTGCTCCTCTCCCTCTTTCCGTTGGGGTACCCCAAGGCTCTGTCCTTGGGCCCCTTCTTTTCTCTCTCTACACCTCCTCCCTGGGCCAATTGGTAACCTCCCATGGCTTCCAATACCACCTCTATGCTGATGACACCAAGATCTCTCTCCACTCCCCAGCTCACCCCCTCAATCTTCTCACAAATCTACTAAGCGACATATCAGCCTGGATGTCACACCACTACCTTAAACTCAGTCATTCCAAAACCGAGCTTGTAATATTTCCTCCTCCCAGATCCCCTCCCAATGACTTTACCATTAAGATCAACAGCACAACCATTGGTCCCTCCCCACATGCCCCGGTGCTAGGCGTAATCCTAGACTCTGACCTCTCCTTTGGGCCCCACATCCAGTCACTGGCTAAATCCTGCCGCCTCAACCTCTGGAACATTTCCAAAACCCACCCCTTTCTGACCAATGACACCACAAAACAACTTAGCCACACTTTGGTTTTATCCCATTTTGATTACTGCAACTTCATTCTCACTGGTCTACCGTTACACAGGCTATCCCCCCTTCTGTCTCTTATGAATGCTGCTGCTAGACTCATACCTTACCAACTGATCAGTGACTGCTGCCCCTCTCTGCCAATCCCTCCACTGGCTTCCACTAACCCAACGTATAAAAATTCAAAATGCTAACCACAGCATACAATGCCATCCACAACACTGCCTCTAGCTACACCACTAACCTCATCCGCAGATATCCAAATTGCCTGCTCCGCTCCTCGCAAGACATCTTGCTCTCAAGCTCCCTCATCACCTCCTCCCACGCTTGCCTCCAGGACTTCTCCAGAGCCTCTCTCATCCTCTGGAACTCCCTAACGCAATATGTCCGGTCAGCCCCCACCGTGTCTGCCTTTAGGCTATCTTTGAAAACTTGCTTATTCAGGGAAGCCTACCCCACCTCCACCTAAGTAACTGTACTTGAGCCACCGCCATCAGAACATCGCCTACAGCTATCACCTTTTGTATCACCTTCACCTTCCTTTAGATTGTAAGCTCCACGAGCGGGGCCCTCCTATTCCTTCTGTACTGAAAGGTATTATAATTGTACTGTCTCCCTTATATGTAAAGCACTGTGCAAACTGTTGGCGCTATATAAATCCTGTATAATAACCATAATAAAGTACTACCTTGAAGTTATTCCAGTGCAGTTTTGGTCCTATTGAGTATACAAAACCTTATCAAAGTTTCACCCAGTTAGTACTACATAATCGCACTGAAAGTCGGATCAGTATCATAATGGAGCAGTGTGAGCCCAGCCTTAAAGTGAACCTGTAACAAGACTACAGAGGTTTGAGTATTTACCGTATTTGCCGGCGTATAAGACGACTTTTTTGACCCTTGAAAATCTTCTCAAAAGTCGGGGGTCGTCTTATACGCCGGTACACATGTTTAGGGGGGCTGCGGCATTAAGTACAGGGGTTTGCAGGGGCTGATGTCTCTTACCTGGATCCAAGTCCCCACGACGATCCGGTCCAGGAAGCGCGGCGTCTCCTTCAGTTCGGCCACTGGATGTTCGTGCGCTGCTCGCACGCTCCGCCTCCTCACCGGTGATTGGCCGCCAGAACAGTAGCTCAGGAAAGGCACACAGGCTGCCAATCACCGGCGAGGAGGCGGAGCGAGCGGTAAATAATTGAGTGCCGGAGCAGCAGGTAAGTGTTCTGTGTAGAGGTGCTGCTGCATGCAACCACATATGCTGGCTGCAGCAGCACTACGAAACAGGGTCAGCAAGTCTCAGTGGGAGGAATAGTGCCCCATCATTGGTGTCACTGATACCAATGATGGGGCACTATTCCTCCCACTGACACCAACGATGGGGCACTATTCCTCCCCCCACTGACACCAATGATGGGGCACTATTCCCCCCCCCCACTGACACCAATGATGGGGCACTATTCCACCCCCCACTGACACCAATGATGGGGCACTATTCCACCCCCCACTGACACCAATGATGGGGCACTATTCCACCCCTCACTGACACCAATGATGGGACAATCACCATTCCTCCCACTGACATCAAGATGGGGCACTATTCCACCCCTCACTGACACCAATGATGGGACACCATTCCTCCCACTGACATCAATGATGGGGCACTATTCCTCTCCACTGATACCAATGATGGGGCACCATTCCTGCCACTGATACCACATGATGGGGCACCTATTTCCCCCCCACTGATACCAATGATGGGGCACTATTCCTCCCAATGATTACCAATGATGGGGCACTATTCCTGCCACTGATACCAATGATGGGGCACTATTCCTCCCACTGAAATACCAATGATGGGGCACTGTTTTCCTCCCACTGACACCAATGATGGGGCACTGTTCCTCCCCCTGACACCAATGATGGAGCACTATTCCTCCACTGATACTAATGATCGATCGGCACTATTCCTGCCACTAATGCCAATGATGGGGCACTATTCCTGCCACTAATACCAATGATGGGGCACTATTCCTCCCACTGACATCAATGATGGGGCACTATTCCTCACTGGTGTGCATTGGAAGAGGGGTAGTCTTATACGGCGAGTATAGCCCAAACGCTACATTTTAGCAGGAAAAGTAGGGGGGTCGTCTTATACGCCCAGTCGTCTTATACGCCGGCAAATACGGTACATGTATTTTTAAAGCAGTAATTTGGCTTTAAAACTTTCACCTAATGACCTCCGTAGCAGTAGATACTGTGAAGAAATTCATCCTTGATGTTTCCAACAAAGGATACTCAAGATCTTGCCTTAGCCAGCCTGGCACCCCCCCCCCCCCCCCCCCACCCCCGCTCCCCACCCATGAGCACCTGCTCTGTGTTTACATTAGTTATTAATGGAAGGTAACTCACTGCAGGTAAGGGGGGGGGGGGGGTCTGAGCTGTATTGGACTGCTGTGAGTTTTAAAAATGATTTGCTCCACAGTACCTGCAACAAGAGTGGCCAGTTAAGGTTTTAAAAGCAAATTTTGTGTTTATTTAGGAATATTTAAATATGAATGTCCATAGCCTGCTGCAGTTACATGTGTATGCACCATTTTTCATTACTTTTTTGTTATTTTGTGACATATACATAATGATATTGAGATGAAAATTCAACTTTTGATTAACTTAACTTAACTTGTAATATTGGTTAAAACAGTGTAGTTAATCCATATTATTTTGCAGCTGTAGAGATTCTAGCAGACATCATTCAAAACAGCAGCACTCTAGGAGAGGCTGAGATTGAACGAGAAAGAGGCGTTATTCTGAGGGAGATGCAGGAAGTGGAGACAAATCTACAAGAAGTGGTCTTTGATTATCTTCATGCTACTGCCTACCATAGTACAGCACTAGGAAGAACTATCCTGGGTCCTACGGAAAACATCCAGTAGGTTCATTTGTATACAAATTTGCCATTGTATTGAGAGCCGAAAGATCTGACATCGCTATACAGAATATATTTAGACCAATGTGTTTGATAAGTAATCTTGTCATATATATTTGTTCCAGATCCATAAACCGTAATGATTTGGTGGAGTACATCACAACACATTATAAAGGACCTCGTATAGTCCTGGCTGCTGCTGGTGGTAAGTGTGAAGAACTTACTAATGAATTTTCTGTCAACTGTCTATAATAGAAAGCTGAAATATATATTGTTTAAATGAAGTCTCCTTTTACATGCAATAGCCTGTTGGTTCATTCTGCTAAATCCCCAGTGTGGGCAATAGCAGGCTCTGTACACTTTTTAGAATGCTTAATGGATTGGCCCCCAATCCTTTGCAGTGCAGTTAATTGTTAAACGTCTGTTTATCCCATTCCCAGCAGATGTAGTTGTAAGTGAAAGCTTAAAGTGATTGTAAAGCAGAATGTTTTTTATCTCCATGCATTCTCTGTACTAAAGTGGAAGTCCAGTTACACTGTAAAAAAAAAGTCAGCAGCTACAAAAACTGTACCTGCTGATTTTTTTTTAACCCCCCCCCCCATACTGTTTGTGTCAATGGACCCACAGAGCCCAGCTTTGGAATTGAGCATGCACGAGTGCCCCCATAGTGAGTGGCTTGCTATAGGGGAACTCTGAAGTGGAGAGGAGTCAGGAGCGCTGGTGGAGGGCCCCAGAAGAGGAGGATCAGGGCTACTCTGTGCAAAACTATTGCACAGAGCAGGTAAGTATGATGTCTTTTGTTATTTAAAAAAAAAAAAAAAAAAAAAAAACCTTTACAATCACTTTAAGGACCAATTCACCCATATAGGTTGCATTATGGTAGCATGCAAAGCAATACATTGTGGTGCCATTTTAAATGAATGCCACCATTTTGGATAGCACTTGTGGTTGTTTTTTTTTTCCTAAACGGGAAATCCTCTTTAAGGCCTTGACCAAGTAAATAGACCTGTTAGGATCTTGTCACACTTAATAGACTCGTGTTCTTGAATGATATAAACTTTGTTTATTAAAGGTGTGTCGCATGATCAGTTGCGTGACTTGGCAGAGTATCATTTCGGTAATTTGCCGTCCATATACGAAGGGGAAACCCTGCCTCCATGCACTTTTACAGGCAGTGAGGTAAAGATCATTTTTATAATTTCAAAGAAATGTCTTTATTGATAACTATATTTTCAGTTAGCATTTTAAAGGGTACTATACCATAATCGCAGTATAATTTTAGTGGTTTAGTAATGATTACAGAATATATTTCACTTATAACTAGTATATTTTATTCATAGGCTTTTTGCAATTTACGATTTCAGTGCATTGCTTGGAACATACAGAAATCTTTTTACCTTTTTAATATCAAACAAAATAAAATACCTTTTTCCTTAAAGTGTTACTAAACCCAGGACCCTTCATTCACTATAGCTGGTCTGCCACAATACACAGAACATGGAAATGCAGTTATTTTAGGAAATATAAACTGCTAAATACCTTTTCTCATCAGCAGTTAGAGTAGTCTTGTGACTTTTATCAGTGTCCAGCTGAGCACATGTTAAAGCTTATAGGAGGAGTTTTCATTCCCTCTTGTCTGGACAATGCTGGTTGGCCCTGTGGTCATCACATGCACTCTCCCAAGAAAAAAAAAAAAACTCTCTAGCAATATGCACCAAACTGAGCATGTGCAGAGTGACTCCAAGCCTCTGATCCATCAGGAGTTATATTGGGGACAGTAGAAGGAGGAGAGAATTAAAAAAGATCAAACATCCTTTTTACACACTATGGAGGATTAACCCCTTGGGTTCCACAGTGAAAATAAGAAGCATTATTTATTGCATATACAGACTGATTTTACTGTTGTGGGTTTAGTAACACTTTAAGCAGGGTACACACTGGCCGAAAATCGTCCAGTTCAGCAGGAATCTGCCAACTTTCCGTCAGTATGTACAGCTGTCTTTCCAACAGAAGCCAGTCTAATAACCGGCTTTTGTGGAAGGAATAGGCTGGAAAACCAGCATCCGATCAGTGCTTTCAATCACTGATCTGTGAATTCTGGCGGGTGGGGAACCTCCCCTCTGTCAGAATTCAGTAGAATAGCAGGGGATATTGCTGCACCAAGATAGGTTGTGTTGGGACACGTGTCTATTTTATGGTGTTTTGTGTGTTTGGTTTTTTTTGGTTTTTTCATTCAACCCGCAAATAAATCAGTGTGCATCCAGCAATACAGTAAATATTAACGTTTCTAAATAGCCACTGCTAACTTACATGTAGGCGTGGCTATTTAGTGTGTGGCTAACCTGAATCCTGGAAACGCTATGGTATGCAAATATCTTCAGTCGTCCTAGCTGAAATCTTGTCCTCACCCCTTCCAAACTGTTTGCCCACTGCTATGATGCATAGCCTTATTGACCATTATCTACAAATATATGTTGCGCTCCTAAATACGTCTCAATAAATAATAATTAAATTATTACCATTAAATTCATTCAAATTATGATACAAATAACTAATAAAAGTGTATAAATACCAAAAAATATTTAAATAGTTTCAACTAATTAATCTCCTCCAAATAAATATCAAAATAATTCCTCATGAAATACTCCTCTAAAAAAATATTTTACCAAGTGTTCATAAATCATCTATTAGTGACATGATGTACTGTACATGTTCTGTCCCCCTTTGTAATGTACAGCGCTGAGCGAACTATCGGCGCTTTATAAATACTGTATAATAATAATAATAATAACTAAAACGCATTTAAATGATCCCCCATAAATAAAAATAACCAAATGCTCATAAATTATTTATGAGCATTTGGTTATTTTTATTTATGGGGGATCATTTAAATGCGTTTTAGTTGAGGGTTATTAGTTGGTTTACTATTTTTATTATATTAAATGAGGGTATTATGAATATAAATGAAATTGAGGGTATTAGTAAGTACATCATGTCACTAATAGATGATTTATGAGCACTTGGTAAAATATTTTTTAGAGGAGTATTTCATGAGGAATTATTTTGATATTTATTTGGAGGAGATAGTTTCAACTAATCAATCTATTTAAATATGTTTTGGTATTTATACACTTTTATTAGTTATTTGTATCATAATTTGAATGAATTTAATGGTAATAATTTAATTATTATTTATTGAGAAGTATTTAGGAGCGCAACATATATTTGTAGATATTTCCAACACAGTTGTAGTTATGTGTTTCATGTTTGCGATCCTCTAGTAATTATCACACCTGTGGCTCGCAAGTCACTCTGATTCATCTATACCTTATTGACCATTAGTTTGACATTGGAGGCATAGGCCAGATTCTCAACCAGAAGATCTCGATATTTGCATACCAGATTGTCCTTAGGTATTGGGGCATATGGGCATTTTTATAGCCAAGTTTAACTGATCTTCAGGTGCCATAAAGTCACCAAGTCATGTGCTTATTCCCTGCTGTTACTAAACAAAACAATGGTGGAAAAAATGTTAGTCAGTGAACATGGTTGCACATTGTTGCAAGCTGATGTACAGTTCATTTAACAATGCAACAACTACATGACTGTTCAGTGAGGATGCATTACGAGTTTGAATTATGTGAAGATTGGTGTTACTCTTTTAGCTTGTGTTCTATAAACTAGGTTTATGTTGCCCAAAGCAGCCGTCTGCAAGATCAGATATTTTGGTGGTTCAGAACTGTCACTAGAAAGTGCAATACTGAAAATGAAAGTTGCATAGATGAAATAACTAAAGAATGTACTGAAAGGGGGTTGGTTATGTAAAAAAAATTATATTCATCTGAAAAAAAGTTCATCTGATGTGCGATTTTGTTTGGATGTTAATCTGCCTTTTAACAAGACTTTAATTTGGCTAATTGTTTAGATCTGTGTTCGTGATGATAAAATGCCGATAGCCCACATTGCCATTTCTGTTGAAGCTGTTGGTTGGTCTCATCCTGACACTATTCCGCTTATGGTGGCAAACACTTTGATAGGCAACTGGGATCGGTCCTTTGGAAGTGGTGTGGTATGGAATTATTTTAATTGTTCTAGTATTGCATAAATATACTGACAAATTAAAGGAAAAACATGAGGCTTATATATGAAAGTGTACTTGTAAAAAAACATTACCATTAATAACGACCAGCCAAAATTCTTATTTCAACCAAAAGGCAGTGGAAAAAAGTCAGTTGCTGGGTTAAAGACACAAGAACTTTTCTGTTACTAGCGAGAACCTGTATTATTCTCATTCTCCATCCTGCTGCATAATGAAAAATGGGCAATTCACACTCTTTGAGCATGCTGGTAGAATCAACAAACTTCTACAAATCTAGGCCAGTCTGTAACCCTTCATTTCATCTTTTGGAGCCGTTACTTCGGGGATCAATAGTGTTGAAAGATTCAAATGAAGGTTCTGCTTGCATAGACTATAAAGTGGTTCTACACATTGATACCTAATCAAACCCCTGATTCTAAATTCATGAATATGAAGTGGTGGTAAATACAGGGGTGTAGTTTTTTTTTCCACTCGCTAAATCTGGGGGGGGGGGGGTTGTTAATGTAGAATTTGAGAAAAAGTGCACAATGTCAATTTTATATATCAAGTTTATAACCTATTATTTGTAAGCACTGTCAACAGTTTCCATGGAGATTTGTGTACTTTTATAGATATCCATCTATATTTTTCTTTTAACTTCACAGAATTTATCGAGTAAACTTGCACAGATCACCTGTCATGGAAACTTGTGTCACAGTTTCCAGTCATTCAATACCTGTTACACAGATACTGGTCTCTGGGGCCTGTATATGGTTTGTGAACCAAACACAGTAGAAGACATGATGCATTTTGTTCAAAAAGAATGGTAAGCAACCAATTTTTCAAATCATTTGTATTATTAGGGGCATCCTTGTATTAACATTCGAAGGAAAGGTGTTGGTAGTTCTTATTTACAAAGCATGAAACCAAAATATCCTAATCACTGAAACAAAGGACCAGATGCCACGGCTTTTAATAGTTGTCAGGGATTTGCTTGGAATGTTCTGTCACAAGCTGTGACTCATTCTGCTTATACCATGTGCCATTTTAGATAGTGAGACTGTTTCAGCAGAAAAAAACTTCACCTTTTAAGAAAAAAAAATAAATGCATGTAAGTTTGCAGAAAAAAGTGCATTTGTTATTTTTCCACATCAGCCTGCAAAGTATTGCACCCAGTGGATCGCAGATGCAGTGTTCAGCAGCCTTCCTCCAGCTCTCTGCTCATACCATTTGTATGGGCTTTCACTTAGAGAAACTGGAAGAAGTGTCAATGGACTAAGAGTGCGTCGATTTCTGCCCTTGTGTTCCAATGATAGCTACAAGTCTATCTGCCTTAGTGGCAGACAAGATTTGTAGCTTATTCAGTCACAGATCTCTGTGGAGGTGAGAGGGGGGGGGGGGGTTACACCCTAAATATGGGTGTAACATGTTGCTAAAGGTGGAGTTAGTCATTAATGCTACCAAAATACAGGGGTTAGACAGAGAAAAATGGAATCTGGGACTGAGATTGAGCTCTGCAGTCACTCTTGCAGCAGTTTTCTTATTCTGGGTCACAATCCTGCGCAGTGTCCTTTTTTTGTCTTTTTCGGTCAGTTGACCACATCGATCGTGCTTATGCTTATCAGACGACATTTTCCCGGGCACTGTATATGTGGTCATAACCTTTGATACTGTACCTCATGACACGTCAAATTGGCAATTGCAGTCACAGAGGCACCAGCTAAGCGGGCACCAACAAGTTGTCCTCTTTGAAGCTCAGAAAGCTTTGACATGATTCCATATTACTAGCAGCGCACACAGTGAATGACAAACGTGAGGCTTCCTACCTGTTAGTTAGGTATCTCATCACACAGCAGAAAGAAAACAAAGTTCCATCATTTCTGCTTTCAACACAAATCATGTCATCACTTTCACACCTAAAAATCATGTGACTTTTCCATTTTTTGTTTTTTGTTTAATCCCTGTAAGTGAGGTGCACATCACACATAATCATTAAAGCTGACGTGAAGCTATTGCAGTTTTTCTATAGTTCCATTGTACTTGCTTGAACCAATATAAGTATGTATGGGCCATACCTGTGGGACCTCCGTGGAAGCTGGAAATCACTGTAGTAGGCACCACTGCTGAAGTCATGATCTCCACCTCATCCAATCAGAAAACACCTTTTGCTTTCTATTGAGAAAATGCAAAGGGTTCTCTGACTGGCGCCATTTCAAAGAGGGTGACCTCTTGTGTTTGGTATGTAGCAGGGAAACCACTTTGCATGGGACCCGGAAGCGAACAGCAGTTTTGTAGTAGCGGTACCTGCTACAGTTATCTCCAGCTCCCAAGGGGGATCCCACAGGTTTATGGCACATACACAGTTGCATTGGTCCAAGCTGGAATAAATGTACTATATGAAAATTGCCATGCCTAATCTAGCACGTGTAAACTGGCTTGCATATGAGCTTTCAACACACAAGTACACTACACCTCTATACCGTATGTTTGTTTTGTTTTTAGGATAAGGCTTTGCACAAGTGTTACAGAAAGTGAAGTTGCACGAGCCAAAAATTTGTTGAAAACAAACATGTTGCTTCAGCTGGACGGTAATGTATCTTGCCATATGTACTATGAGACTTATAGCTGTCTATCACGAAGATCATGTAAACATTGAAAGCATTTTTTCATAAATGTATAAAGGCTTCATTAAAATTACCAAAATAGTAAGTAATGAAGGTAGTCTACTTTAGAGGGGAATTCACTAGACCTCTGAAATGATGTTAATAAAAAATGGTTTGCACTACATAGCGGTACTTTAAATTATTTAATATTTTTATATTCAGGTTTTTGCATGGCATTGCTAGCTCTTAGACATAGGGTAGCATTTTATTATTTTGTGTTTCATCTGATTTAATGTATTGTTTTTAAAGGTTCCACACCTATCTGTGAGGATATAGGCAGGCAGATGTTGTGTTATAACCGAAGACTACCATTACCTGAACTGGAAGCAAGGATAGATGTAAGTCTTCTGTCCTGTAAAAACCCAGCACATACAGTATATTGCCTTCTTCTCACATGTATTTCTTACAGTAGAAGTATGACTGCACCTTGGGACTAGCAGTACCCCAGTTAACATTTAAAAAACCGAACTCCAGTCAAAAATAAGTATTGATTTTTATGTCTTTTATAGATAAAGTAACAAAATCCACTTTTGATGCAGTATTCATCTTTTAACCAAGGGATCTTCCTCGTAGTACATTTGCAGCCATCAAACGTCCTCCATTTGATGGCCAGCATCATGCAACCCACTTCCTCTGAGCCCAGGGCATCCTGTACCTTCCCCCAGCCTGTGACTGGACAGAGAAAGGGAAGCAACATAGTGATGCGCAAATCTCTCTGTCACACTGTTTTCTTTTCTTAATATGTATTTTGTGATCAAACTGATTTTCCTTCGTGCTGCTTCTTCCTCTAAAACGTCAGCCCTGCTCTGCAGGGTCTGCAAGTGGTTGTTATACCAAGTCTGGGGCACTTGGCAGGGGGAAGGGGCCAGGAGTGCTGGTGGGGGCCCAGAGAAGAGGAGGATCGGGGCTGCTCTGTGCAAAACCATTGCATGGAGCAGGTAAGTATAACATGTTTGTTTTCATATTTGTACCTTTACAGTCACTTTAAGCCAGCCCCCTTCCCAACTTTCAACTGTTGTGCCTCGTTTTTTGCTAGCAGGTTGGACACTTTTTTTTTTTTTTTTTTGCTCTGCTCTACTGGAAATAACTCTAACTATATTACTTTTTTTTTTTTTACATTTTTTTTTACATTTTGTTTTTCTATTTTTATTTTTACTTTAAAACACACCCCATATTCTGAAGATAATTGTTATCAGTAAAGATGTCGAATATGCTGGTTAAGCTGGTCTCTATATACCAGCTATCTGATTCATCCTATGTAGGGTCATCCCCTTCAGCAGCTTCTGTAGCCATGTTGTCTAGGCCTAAGACCTATTCTGCATCTACAGGGCCTCTCATATCCACTGTTGAATTTGTGTTTGTGCACAACTGAAAACAGTCTGCTTGCAGAAGCACCAAAAGAGCTCTGGTACCTTCTATTACAGAATTTATTTCTAACCTTCCTGCCCTTCTTTTTGTAGAGTGCCTGAGGCCCCTATAACCATCACTGATTCAGATTCAGAGTCTGTATAGCCTGCCTCTGTTGAAAATGTAAACAAGTTAGCGCCAAGCATCATCTCCTACAGACTCTGCCATTAAATTACAGATCTCTACACCAGAAACCTTCTGTTTTAAAGGTGCCCTCCCAGGAGCCCTGGAGCTCCTACGGATAGCATGTGTAGCTCCCTACTATAGCCATGTCAAAGGGGGGGGGGGAATGGGAGATGTGGTATTAAAAACAAAAAATATAAAATGGGGGGGAGGTGTGTACCCAGGTGTAATTTGGGGTAAAGGTTGGTGGTGGTGGAAATATACATCCTGGGTGGGGGGGAATGTGGGTGTTTGTGAATAGTTGGGGGTGATTAATGATCCTAGAGGGAGGTTACCACCATCCTAACTCTGGCTTGCTTTGGGAGCATTGGAGAGTCTTAGTATATTGTCCTATGGGGATAGAGAAAAAAAGGAAGGTTCCTTCGAATGATCACTCATCATTCTTCAGTGGGGTAAAGTGTTGAGAGACCAATGAAGGAACTAACTTCCATTGGGGAGTCTCACATTAAGTGAAGTGGGCACTTGGGGTTAAGCATTATCACCTTGTTCATTGGGGGTTGTGGGGGGGGCTATGTGGTGAACTTGTTAAGGTCAGTCAGCGAGGCATCTACAGTTTGTTGGCTAAGATGAGGTAACCTCGTTCCTAAAGTTCTTGGTAATAGAAAGTTCCATATCTTCTGTGGGATCGTTAGCCGCCGGGTTGTTATTCTAGATGTTTGTTTTTTGTGGTCAGGTTTTTCGTGGTATTGCTCCCGTGTAAAATATTACTATTCAACCCCGTTTGAAAAAGGTAGAGTTTTTGCAGCAGTTTTTATTCCGTGGGCCATCTCCTTGTGTGTATGACCTTAGCTACTCTTCCAGCTGCAACCCCGTCTCCTTTATGAGAATGTTTCAGAGCTCCCCGTGTTTTTTTTTTCAGCTGGGTGACACCAAGAAGGTGCTTCTTCACTCTAGTCTTCGTGTCATCTGGATCATCCTCGTCGCAGTCCCCGCATGGAACGATATATCGCCTCCTGGAACCTGATCTTGGACTATCCAAAGGACAGATGGTCGTTGTTTTTCCCTGTGCTACGGTCTCCCAAGTGCCAACCTCGTGAAAGCTTCCAGTAAGACCTACTTACTATATGTGTTCTTTTCCCAGACCAAGCTTTTAAAAAGTCCTTTGTTGAATAAACTTTTTTTCCCTGCACCTGATTTTTTGTGTGTTTTTTTCCTCGGAGTACTGCAGGTATTATCGGCTTCATCACGTCGTCACAGTAGGGATCTATTTGTTTTGCAAGTACAGTATATCCAGCAAGGTTTTTACAAATTGTAGTGTCTGTACTGGGGTCATGCGGGCTCCCTTTTGCTCCCAAGTCGGGCTGGGGTGTGGTGTGTTGTAGATACTTAGTGCTGCTCAGCCTTGCCGTTCCCTGAAAAAATTCCATTAAAGAAATGCTTGTGTGCAAATTGGTTTGTTTTTTTACCATGCGATGGGAAAATTCAAAGGAGCAGAATCTAGATCTAACAACCTTTTCAGTGCATGTGGTTTTTTTGGTAAAAAAGTACATTACAATTTAAACTTGAGTTTTAAAAGCATTTGAAATGTGCAGATGACATTCGATCAGTCACCGAATGCACAATGACTTTTCATATGATTGTTCTGTACAAATATTGGTCTGAAAATTGATTAACGTGTATGGCCAGCATAAGAAAATTGGTAGCAGCAGGCATGCTGTTCTTTTTATCACTTGTCAGGTTTAAAAAACAAAAACCCATAACATTAGCCATTATAGTAACATTAAAACCGCATAAACGCACTACTATAAGGGGGGTTAACATGATACGGTGGAAACGGTGAAAGTAATATTAATAAATATTATACAGGGCATTTTACCTGAGAGTTCAGACAAGAAGCCGAACATGAAAGGAGGGGGGGGATAAAAATCTTTTATATTAAAGAGTACGAAAGGCTGAGACTTTTTTTTTTTATTTTTCATCTATAATATAACATCCATTTATTTTATTTTTTATATGATTTACTTTTTATTGGTAAATGGTGTACAACAAACAAAAATTGCATAGAATTGGCGAAATATACATAAGGCAATGAAAGAACAAAGAAACAGGCTCCACGATGAGAGTCAATATAGGTATCATACAATGTCAATGCATAACAGTGACTTAGCTATCATTGTCAGACAATTCAGTGGGGCTAATCTGATAAGATCCCAGCGGGTCCCAAACGGCTTCAAAGATGGTAACATGCACGGCAGTGAGGTACCTCCATTCTTCGTGATCTCTACTATAACCTTCACCATTCCAAACGGGTAGGAGCGTAGTAGAAAGCCAATGCACTGGGAATGTTCTTCTGGCCAGCTGTGAAAACATGGAGGATAGTTTTCCTGGAAAAATTTGGAGAGGCGGCAATAAGGGGGAGCCCAGCAAAAGGGATAGGCTCAAAATGAAATAAGAGCCTGAAAGGTAGCTGCAAACGGTAAGGACCTCTCTCCCAAAAGG